CTCTCTCTCTCTCTCTCTCTCTCTCTAAGTGAGAGAAGCTTCGAGGCCATTCGAGGCGCCTTTTCATCCCCCTCTCCATCCTATTTATCGAGGAGGACGAGAAGAGGACGTTTCGTCGAGAAGATGTCGGACAGCGGCGTTGTGACAGTCTACGGCAATGGCGCGGCCCTGACGGAGCCGAAGAAGTCGTCTACCTTCTCGGTGAAGGTGGGGCTAGCGCAGATGCTGCGCGGCGGCGTGATCATGGACGTGGTCACCCCCGAGCAGGCCCGCGTCGCCGAGGAGGCCGGCGCCTGCGCCGTCATGGCCCTCGAGCGCGTCCCCGCTGACATCCGCGCCCAGGGCGGCGTGGCGCGCATGTCAGACCCCGGCCTCATCAAAGAGATCAAGCGCGCCGTCACCATCCCCGTCATGGCCAAGGCCCGCATTGGACACTTCGTCGAGGCCCAGATCCTTGAGGCCATCGGGGTCGACTACGTCGACGAGAGCGAGGTTCTCACTCCCGCCGACGATCAGCACCATATCAACAAGCACAACTTCCGGGTGCCCTTCGTCTGCGGCTGCCGCAATCTCGGCGAGGCGCTCCGCCGCATCCGTGAAGGCGCCGCCATGATCCGCACCAAGGGCGAGGCCGGCACCGGAAACATCGTCGAGGCCGTCCGCCACGTTCGCTCCGTCATGGGCGACATCCGCGCTCTCCGCAACATGGACGACGACGAGGTCTTCGCCTTCGCCAAGCGCATCGCGGCCCCCTATGACCTCGTCATGCAGACCAAGCAGCTCGGCAGGCTCCCGGTCGTCCACTTCGCCGCCGGCGGGGTCGCCACCCCTGCCGATGCTGCCCTCATGATGCAGCTCGGCTGCGATGGCGTGTTTGTTGGCTCCGGCATCTTCAAGAGCGGAGACCCCGCGCGCAGGGCCAGAGCCATCGTGCAGGCAGTCACCCATTACACCGACCCGGAGATCCTGGCGGAGGTGAGCTGCGGCCTGGGGGAGGCCATGGTGGGGAGCAATCTCAACGACGCCAATGTCGAGAGGTTCGCTAGCCGCTCGGAATAACAGAGAAGCATAAACAAATCGGTCCTTTCCTTTCAGTTCCGTAGTTGGGTCGTTTCTTAACTGAACCAAAATTGTTGCTTTGAAGTTACTTGCTTTATAGCGACTGAAATATTCTGCTTTTAAACCCTAGCTTTTTGTGTGTCACAAAACTACAAGTGTGCTTGATTCATCAGATGCCTGTTTGATTTCTATGGCTTAATAATACATTTCATGGATCATACATGATATGTGTCTCTGATGTTTCTTCTTCCGTTTACCTCGACGCATGGTACTTTTCTTTCTTTACATGTATTAACATGTTTTGATGATACTGACAATTATTGTGTTCAATGCTGAAGGATTTGCGATTGACTCAAACGGATGATATTATTCCAGCGAATTGTTCTACATAGTTACTTATCAATGGAAAGGAACATTCCAAAAGAAGGATGATACACTGTTGACTGATGTGGTATGCTTCTTCCTTTTTAGTTTTCAGGGGAGGCATGTTATGCTTCTTTGAAAGTTCTCTGATATGAGGTCTGTTTCTTTTATAAGGATAACTTCAACATAAGTAATAACGGCATTACAAAAGAACATCAAACCTGAGGTTCATTTGATGAATGATTGCGACTCATTGCTGATGAACTTGACATGCATGAACACCAAACCTGTGGTTCATTTGATGAATGATTGCGATTCATTGCTGATGAACTTGACATGCATGAACACCAAACCTGTGGTTCATTTGATGAATGATTGCGACTCATTGCTGATGAACTTGACATGCTTGATGTTAAGTGCAGACACTATTTTAGGTGAACTAGTACTTGTGGAAAATTATAATGATGCACACTAGCCAATTTCATTTAACCAGTACTTTGTGGACTTTTGTGATCCTAGGAACTCACAAAACTATATTCTTCTTGGAACTGAGAACTGTAAACATTCTTGCAGTTGAACCATCTGATTTGATTGGAAATAATGGAGTAAAATAAATTACCACTCAACCCAACTTGAGGCAGGATCCGGAGCTCATGGTAAGATGACTAAATCAATAGGAGGTTAAGCATTCGATGGTTATGGTGGCAGCAGTTGATTGGTGGCTATGATGAATGAATTAAAGAGGAAATTATGTTGAATAAGCCATGTGCTAATGCACATGTCCTTTTGTCTTTGATTCTTATGCAAGACTGCTTTGGTGGGTGGTCCATCTGGTATACAATTCTAAGAGCCGGCATTCTAGTTTCCGTGGTAGCCTTTTAACTTAGTATGCTCAATTATTGAAGTACTTTTACAGGTTTGTTAGTAATAGCTTGCTTGATAGCTGCTCATATTTGGATATTCCCATTCATCTCTTTCCTAAAAGCAAAAAAAGAAGTTATTCTACTGTCTTGTTATGCATATAACTGAAGCCTAAGCATTGATTCCATAGCCACAAGAACAATATTCATCCTACAGGTCTGATCTGTTCAGAAATGTTTGCTGTGCAGAAGTAGAAGGGTATTCAGCTATATTGAATCTGGATGTCATGATGATGTTCTTCAGGTAAGGCCCTTGGTTAGTGAGGGTTTGATTTGAGTTAAACTCTAGTTAGTTTATTAGAAAAAAGTAGTTGAAAATTTTGATTCGATCTGCATTTTGTGCTTCCTAATTAATAGCTTCTCCTGTTCTCCTTTATCCCTGCCTGTCTCCCATTTGTCGTCTCTTTTCTCCCAAGCTCTCTTACTATTCCTTCCTGAACAATCTGTCAGAGTATATTTCCTGTTCATCTGCTGTAGATTATTGTCTGAGCAGCTAACTGAGATCGAACTCTTGCTGGAAATTGCTGCAGTGACATTATCATCACGTACTGGATTCCACACCTGCGATGCATGATTGCAATGAGAGAACAAATGCTCGACAATCTCCGGAGAGCTATTACAAAATGGACACAAAGAGGTTGAGGCTCATTCCAATGGCAGCAAGCCTAGTGGATGTTGAGAGGCTGTGATGGAGGAGTTTCCAGCAAAAAAATTAATCTTCATTCGAGGTAAGACTAGAAGACCATAAACACATCGCCACAAATCCCAACAATCCACTGGTTCACTACGAATGGATTGAGAAAAACATCTAAGATCAAAGTGGCATAACTGTGGTTGTCAAATCTTCATGACTAGACATCATCCTACGATCAAGGGGAAGATAGATTCTTGAGATTTCCTCCGCTATCGAGAGTCCAAAGCGATCATATAAAAGTTTCAAATTTCAACACCCATCGGAGATCGAAGATCTAACATGTGTATCCGAAGAATCCAATATAAGATCAACAAAAGTAGGTTTATGAGAAAGTGAAATATAAAAAATCCTCGAATAACACATTAAATCCATAGAAGAATCATTGTTAACAAACTTAAAAAAGAAAGTCTCTAACTCTAATTAATGTTGGTACAAATCTTATCATTTTAGGAAGATATCCAACCGTATTTAGCAGAAACAATATTAACTCAGATTGAATATTAGCAGAAACAATATTAACTCAGAGCGAGGCTTCGCCCTTGCTTTCCGCCAGCGACCACCACCGTCGTAATCACATTCCTGAGCGAGGCTTCGCCCACCTTCCACCGTTGCCAGCGTCTCGTCCCGCCGCAGAAAACCTTCGTTCATTAATGTCAAAGCTATCTCCGGAACCATCAGCATCCTCTGCTCTCTTGAAGCTTTTCCTTGTCTCCGTCGGCGATACTCACCACCCGAGGGCCCCTGATCTTTTCCAGTGCTAGCTTCAGAAGTGCCACCATTAGCACACTGTCCTCTAGCTTGGTGCTCACGGAGTCAAGATCACCGTTGTCCGGCAACCGAAACTGACGCTAGCACTTGCCGTAGGAGTGCTCCACCAATGATTCGCTGCTGGCCGCCCCTTCTCGATACATTGCAACTCCATTCAACTAGAGAACCATTCAAACAAAGCCCACACTCGCAGAGCGCAGTCGCAACCTCTGTTTCTACCGCCGACTGTTGCTCCCTCGCCAACCGAAGTCTTCCACTAAAGGTTCCACCAAAGCTTCACGGCATCTCGAACTTCGGCCGGGGCTCCAGGTTCGGCAAGAACGTCCCTGACGCCACCAACTTCCCACTTCCGATCACGCCCCATCTCGCTCGAGCGAGAAAGGGGCTCCTCATCCCCGATTTCACCCTTGATCTGGCGTACGCGCTCGTTTGAAGAGCCGCTGCCCACACTCCGGTGGTGAACAGAACCTCTTCCCCACGTTCTCTTCTTCTTGCTCATTGCTGCAGATTCCTATCACTGCCATGCTGCCATGGGCAGCCTCTACACCGCAATAGCATCACTGCCATGCTGCTAGGGGCAGCCTCTGCACCGCAACAGCACGCGAGGCGAGTGCAGCTCTGCTGCATCCCACTCTACCTTCTCTGGTGTACCCGACTTCTTCGCCTCGACGAGTAGCATCCGGAACCATTTCTACTCCACTTGCTACCCATCACTGCATCGCTACTAAGCAAAGTACAGTAGTGATCTTCGACGACGAAGCACGCAGCAATACTCTTCACGTTCTTCACTTCCCAGATCCCCAACCGCAGAACTGCTACACAGAGATCTGCAACTTTACTTAATATACGCCTCCTTCGACAAAAAAAACTCATTTGCCAGCAACCCACCTCTGGCGACGCTGATCTGTACCAACACTTTCCCTCTTAGATCACTGTAAGCGATAGTACTGTCAAGGAATGATGGTAGTACTATTAGTATCCCGAAATTTAGGGATATGACATATTTTGGCTCCAATTCTGAAGTCATTGAGGCCTATAAATATCCCACCATTTTCTGCATGAAAGAGCACGAAAATGTTGGCATAATTTTGAATCTTTGAAGTGTTAAAGTGTTGTAAAAGTACTAGAGTCAAAATGTTGAGATCATTCAAGAGAGGTGTGAGACTTGTAAGAGTTATTTCCTAAACCCATGAAACGTTGTAAAGAGTTGGTTGGTCTTCGCCTATTGAAGGAAGACCATTAGTGGATCCGGTGACCTTACAGAGGAGGAATTAGAAGTGGATGTAATACTTTTTTCACTACACTAATTCACCCCCTAGTGTTAGACTATAAGCGATAGTACTGCCCAGTAATGACGATAGTACCACTAGTACCTCGAAATCTAGGGATGTGACATTTTGGCTCCAATTCTGAAGCCATTGGGGCCTATAAATACCCCACCCTTTTCTGCATAAAAGGGCACGAAAATGTTGACATAATTTTGAATCTTTGAAGTGTTAAAGTGTTGTAAAAGTACTAGAGTCCTCCTCCTCCCTTTCTAAATATTGAGATCATTCAAGAGAGGTGTGAGACTTGTAAGAGTTATCTCCTAAACCCATGAAAAGGAGAAAACGTTATAAAGAGTTGGTTGGTCTTCGCCTATTGAAGGAAGACCATTGGTGGACACCGATGACCTTGATAGAGGAGGAATTAGAAGTGGATGTAGGTCACAATGATCGAACCACTCTAAATTTTGGTTTGCTTTTCTAATGCAATTTATATTACTGCAAACTTTCTTAACCTTCTCTTTGCACTCTTGCGAAAGCTTTCAAGTTCACTATCTTTATGAAACGAATTGAATCGAAATGAATATTTTTCAAAATTAATATTTTTTTCACTATACTAATTCACCTCTTAGTGTCAGACTGTAAGCGATAGTACTGCCCAGTAATGGCGGTAGTACCACTAGTATCCCGAAATCTAGGGATGTGACATATTTTGGCTCCAATTCTGAAGCCATTGGGGCCTATAAATATCCCACCCTTTTTTGCATGAAAGGGCACGAAAATGTTAGCATAATTTTGAATATTTGAAGTGTTAAAGTGTTGTAAAAGTACTAGAGTCCTCCTCCTCCCTTTCTAAATGTTGAGATCATTCAAGAGATGTGTGAGACTTGTAAGAGTTATATCCTAAACCCATGAAAAGGAGAAAACGTTGTAAAGAGTTGGTTGGTCTTCGCCTATTGAAGGAAGACCATTAGTGGACACCGGTGACCTTGACAGAAGAGGAATTAGAAGTGGATGTAGGTCACAATGACCGAACCACTCTAAATTTTAGTTTGCTTTTCTATTTATGAAATTTACATTATTGCAAACTTTCTTAACCTTCTCTTCACCCCACCCCCCTCTTAGTGCTGCTCTTGATCCCAACAATTGGTATCAGAGCAAGGTCACTCTCGTTTGGTTTAAAACCCAAGAGAG